GGATATTGCATTAGGAACGAGTAAAGAGACTTGCCGGTAACGAGATTGAACTAAGTATTGACATACCGACGATCGAATCTCGGGCAAGTAACATACCGATGACAAAGGGAACAACATATGTTGTTATGCGATTGGACCGATAAAGATCTTCATAGAATATGTAGGAACCAATATGAGCATCCAGGTTCCGCTATTGGTTATTGACCGGAGACGAGTCTCGGTCATGTCTACATAGTTCTCGAACCCGTAGGGTCCGCACGCTTAACATTCGACGACGATCGGTATTATGAGTTTATGTGTTTTGATGTACCGAAGGTAGTTCGGAGTCCCGGATGTGATCACGGACATAACGAGGAGTCTCAAAATGGCCGATACATAAAGATTGATATATTGAACGACTATGTTCGGACACCGGAAGTGTTCCGGGAGGTTTCGGATAAAACCGAAGTGTCGGAGGGTTATCAGAACCCCCCGGGAAGTTATTGGGCCCTTAGTGGGCTTTAGGGGAGAGAGAGGGCAGCAACCAGGAGGTGGCCTCCCCAAGGGAGTCCGAATTGGACTAGGGGAGGGGGGCGCGGCCCCTCTTTCCCTCTCCCCCCTCTCCTTCCTTCCCCCTCTGAATTGGACTAGGAAAGGAGGAATCCTACTCCTACTAGGAGGAGGATTCCTCCCCCCTTGGCGTGACCTCTAGGGCCGCCCAGCCTCCTCCTACCCTCCTTAATATACGGGGGGAGGGGGCACCCCATAGACACACAAGTTGATTGTTTAGCCATGTGCGGTGCCCTCCTCCACAGATTTCCACCTCGGTCATATCGTAGTAGAGCTTATGCGAAGCCCTGCGTCGGTAACTTCATCATTACCGTCATCACGCCATCGTGCTGACGAAACTCTCCCTCGACCTCAGCTGGATCTAGAGTTCATGGGACGTCACCGAGCTGAACGTGTGCAGATCGCGGAGGTGCCGTACCTTCGATGCTAGGATCGGTCGGATCATGAAGACGTACGACTACATCAACCGCGTTTTCATAACGCTTCCGCTTACGGTCTACGAGGGTACATGGACAACACTCTCCCCTCTTGTTGCTATGCATCACCTAGATGGATCTTGCGTGTGCGTAGGAAATTTTTGAAATTACTGCATTCCCCAACACCCTTCCCCTGCCTCAACCGAGCCTGGCTCGCTAGAAACTGTCAATTTAGCCGTTCCTAGCGGTCCTGGCTGGGGGTGCTTTAATCTTCGTGCTATGCAGGCAGCCAAACAACCTAGTTTCGTCCCGCATGGGCTAGTTGGCCTGTAAGCGGGCTACCAAACACACCCTTGAGTTCAGTCACTTCATGTCCCAATGGCGAAGTCAGGATTGGTTCCCGGTACGGCCCTAGTTTGGCAAGCAGTACCAGGTGGATTCTATTCTTCAACATTGGTGTTGCACAACCACAAGTCATGGCTTGGAGCGTTGGTGTCGTATGCAGTTGCAGGAACGGTCCATGCCGTGTTCATAAACCTAGCCCACAAAAGATAATGATGGTCTCATTTGTTCATTTTAGCTCAAGTCATTGTCCTTTTTGTCTTCTTCTCTTGGGCTACGTCTGCTCTAATCTTTCTTTTGTGGTTGTGTTCTGGCTCGACAGGATCTCCATTGGAGATGTACCGAAAGTTCTCTTATATGCCTCTCTCATTCTCAATGGTCGTTTTCTGCAAGATGATGCAACATGTCATGATTTTTCATAGGACATGTGACTTCCTATACTCGACCAGTGCACGAATAATCACAAAAGCACTTTTGAAGCACTCTGAAAGCTCTCTCAACATCCTTTCTTGCCGAATCTTGACATGTTGCAAAGTGGAATCTCTTGTTGCCTTGAGGACGTTGGATTGTCTTCAGAAATGCGACCCTTGGGGGATAGATATCATCTGCAAGGTAGTAGCCCATCATGTACCGATAGTCATTGTCGACATAGTTGCAAGGTCGAGCATCTTCGGCAACAAGACTTTCAAGCAGCGGTGACCCCGAAAACATATTCAGGTCATTATGAGAGCCAAATGATCCAATTAAACCCATCAAGAGGCGCTAGAATGGTGGTCAATCAGCTACGCCATGTGGCGCGCACTGGTTGGTCACGGTGAGAAAGTAGTTTTCTTAGAGTTTTTTAAATGTAGGAAGGTTTTTTTGAGAGAAGTTTTTCTAGTTTTTTTCTTTTTCCTCTTAAGATGACTGTGATGTCCACGTGACGCGAGAATATTTTTTGAATTTTTTGACATGATGACGAGATGCGCATAGCTTTCTCTTAAACGGCCCGCAATGGCAGGCCCCGGCCACTAGTGGTTGCCAAACATATAGATCCTGATGCAACAACCTCAAGAATGATGATTGGATCTTTTAAATGCCCTTTGTACCGACCTTTTCCTCCCGCCGGACAATTCTTCCATGTCCGGTGCATGTAATCAATTGATCCAAGCATCACCGCCCATCCTTATTCTTAAACACAACAACAATAACACACCACCAACAACAAAAATCACCTAGGCAATTCTTCGACCACGTTGCAAGCGGAGGAGGTGAGAGCCGCCGTGGGCGGCGTTGCAGCGATGCCGAGGCCGTGGGTGGATAGCGGGGCTGATGGTATGGCCTGTAGGCTTTGGGATCTCAATTCTCTTCGATGTCGTTATTACCCATCTTAGGGAAAGCCTGGCATGGTAGAACTCAGGCTTTGGGGAAGGACGCTGCCATGGCCGAGATTCCGGCCGCATTTAGCTCCCCTGCGGGTGCTCTACACCAATGTGGTCATCCACCAGTTCTGTTTTGGATGAAACAAAGCTCGTCGGTGGCCTTATTCGCCCACAAGCTTCTAATGGCGGCAGGGAAGATATATATGCGGTGATTGGGCCGAGAGTCGGTGGGGTTGCGGGGTGTCGACTATCCTGCACGATGGCCGACATGGGAAAGGAAAGCAACATAGGTACTGTTGTGGTGGAGGCCATTGAGCGAAGTGAATCTTTTTTTGAGAATTCCTTTCGGTGGCTCAAAATTGAGAGCCGAAGGATGCTTCTTCTAAAAAAATTGAGTAGCTAAAGCAAATAGGAGTTCAGATAGATGCATCTTAACTACTCGAAAGGGAATCTTTTAGAATCTTTTGACGAGTTAACCCATTTTAGGTGTTCGGCTAGAGATATCCTAAGCATCAATTTATGAGAACCCTAAAAGTGCATTTTTGAGACAACGGTTTAGTATCATTTAATACTTAAGTTTGTGTTTTCACAACGTTGTTTCTCTAAAATTTCACGAGAATTCCCACTTTGTAGCACCGATTAAAAGCACACCTATAAAGCATTATTGAGATGCCCATACATTCTATAAAAGTACACCTTTTCGGAATGCAACGCTACATTTTTTCACACAAATTCGCTAGGTCAATTTTTTTGCTTCTTAACTTTTTAAATAAAATGTAGGTATTCCAAATATCACTGAAAAATCGAAGAGCCATATTAAATGAAAGCGTTAAAATGTGGAAAACCTAGCCTCTTTACGATGGATGAACCTTAAACAAATAGTGGCTTGATTCGGTTATACCTCCATAAGCACAAACAGATTAAAGAAAATATTTCCCAATACAACAAAGCAAACAAAACAATTAATTGGTTTAATTAAGTAACAAAGATTTATGTTAGTGGTGAGAGATTCATGTTGCTGAACTGCAAGAGGGAGTCTGTGCAACAAAAAATGTGAAGATGCAGAGAATCTCAAGAATATGAGAATATATTCTCTCTCTTTTTTTTGTACGGAAGAGTATAAGGATATGGAGGAAAGGTTCAACGTGATGGATATCACTATTGTCAGGTGCACCATAAACTATTGTTTTTCTACGGTTGTGCCATAGAATAGCAGTTTTCTAGTTTACGAGGATTCCTGCAGTGTAAATTCTAATTTATAAAATCTAGGATTACATTTTATTAAATAACCCTTCAAGAGGATTTTCGTACCTAAGTTAGTATTATGGACATAGCTGTTTCTTCTTCTAAAATTTGACGGAAACTACCACGACTTTAAGACCAATTAAAACCTAAAAGTATTAGGAAAGGAGTTGTAGGTCTATTTGGAATGCTAGAACGAATATCTTGCTCCCCCAATCTCTACTATTAAAGGATGGTTAGTAGGTTCGCCTCACCTCCATGGGGTTTTTCCTCCCCCACATCCTCCCCCCTTTAGTTTTCTGTTGATTTTTTTGTAATCTCAACCATTGGCACACAAACTAAAAAGCGACGTAAATACAGTAGCTTGAGATAATCTAAATGAAAACGGTACTTTTCCAAATCAAATCTTATCAAAATCTTAGCCATATCAAATTTTTACTTGACTTCGCCTACCCATACCTCAATCAAATTAAATCTTACCAAACCTTAATTAAATCAATGTTTTTCTTGCCTTTCCCTATCTATACTTAAATAAAATTAAATCTTACCAAAATCTAGAATATGGTTGGTGTATATATGTCAGACAAAATTGATATTTTTTTTGCGACTGAGGACAAAATTGATATTGAATCACTAGAATATGCTCCTGTTGCAACACATGGCAATTAGCTAGTTCTGTTAAAGTGCTGCGTCTTCCAAGCATTTCTTGCCCTAGCAAGAATTCTATGGAAAATCACCTTGTTCTAAACATGGATTACTTGCATCGAACAAATAGATTCCCCATGATATACAGCAATACTAGAAAACTGATACGATAAAATGTGCAAAACTCAGCCTTGTTGCCTTAAACAAATAGTGTCTGGTTCAATGGGACCCACTGCTAATCATCACCTCCATCAGCACAAACCATGGATTAATGAACGGCAAGCTAGAATAATCCCAATAGAAAAGAACAAACTAAACAATTGGTTGATTTGATTAATTAACTAGTGCAGCAGCAGCTAGCTAAAGTGCTCCACACACTCTCCCTGATCACCATGCCAGATGCTTGCATGATTGGTTGCCCGAACGGATGGCTCTCGTTGCTTGCTTACTGCGGGCTTGCGGCGGAGTGGCCGGCCTCGTGGCCGTTCGCGCCGGCGCTGGTGCTGCCTCGGCGGTGCTGATCCATCTCGGGAGGCTGCCCTTCCTCCTCCTCCTGCTGCGGCTGCTGCTGGTGCTGGTGCTGCTGCTGCTCGCCGCCGGTGGAGCGGCCGCAGGAGTTGAGGCCCGCCAGCATGCCGAGATTCGTGTCGCCCATCCCGCCGGGGAAGCTGCTTCTTGAAATGAACTGCAGCGGCGCCTGCACCGTGTTCCCGGCGCCGAAGGCCCATGCCGGCTGCATCCAGAAGGCGCCGCCGCCTGCGCCTGCGCCGCTGTTCGGCGCCACGGCCCACATTGCCCCCGAAACAGCAGTGGGTGGCGGCGCCGGCCTGGGCTTCTGCGCGGGCTCGCCGCCGCCCTCCGGGTCTTGATGGCGTCCGGTGTCCTTGAACAGGTCGTCCGCCTCCCTATACCGCTTCCTCATGAACTCCCCGGCTCCAGGATCTTGCGGCGCCTCCGGGTGCTGGTGGTGGTGGTGCTGCTGCGGCGGCGGGGGGAGGAGCTGGTGCTGATGGTGGCCATGGAACCCGAGCATGGCAGCCACGTCGTGCTGCGGCTGGTGCTGGAGGTGGTGCTGGAAGGGCGCGGCACGGGAGGAGGCGCCGGGGCGGAGGGAGGCGGCGAGCGTGGAGAAGTTGGCGGGGACGGTGCCGGTGCCGGTGGCGGCGACGATAGCGGGCTCGGCCTGCTGCAGAAGCCACTCGACGGTCTCGCCGTCGGTCTTGTGGCCGAGCTCCCGCGTGAGCTGGAACACCCGCGCCGCGCACAGCGCCGGCATCCGTATCCTCCGCCCGCGCCCATCCACCTTGGTGTGCCGGTCCTTGGTCGGCCGCTTCGCCACCTTCTTCTCGGACGGCGGCTCGGCCACCGTTATCGACTGGCTGTGGTTGGCCGTCTGCGCTCCCGCCGGGGTAGCCGCGGGTACCATCGCAAGCGAGCCCATGAACGGCGGCGGCGGCGTGGCGCCTGTAGCCGCCGCGGCAGCGTAGTAGAAGGGGTGGTGGTGCGCGGCGGCCGACGCGTGGTGGGGGTGGTCCGACGTGCTGCGGCTGCTGTTGGTGCTGGTGCTGGTGCTGCTTGACGGCGCCGCCCCCTGCTGGTCCATGAGAAGAGACGACAGCTAGGCACAGTTACATGCGTCGGACGGCGGCGCCTGTTGGCCGGAGCCGAGGAGGAGAGCGACGCACGTGCGCGCGGCGGTGGGGTGGGGTGGGAGGAGGTGTGGGGCTGGGACAGCGGCGGGAGGAGAGAGAGGTCAGACTCAGAGGTGGAAGAGAGGGAGAGGTGTGGGGTTGGTAGGTTTGGATTTTGAGTATGACCGTCCTAAACCCCAGAAAACCACCATTGTTGGGACCTACTGCTCCGCAGCCTACCTAGCTTTCCTCTCTTATATAACCATAACCAACCATGGTTTGCGTTGGGTAGGGCAAGTTTGCACCGCGTGGTGTGTATCAGCTAGCTGCTGGGTGAGGATCATGACCTGGCCAATCAATTGGCCAGCTAATTGGGGTTAAACATTGCCAAATTTGGATTTGTGGTAATCGTGAGGCTGGGATTTGTGAATCCAGTAAAGATTTTGAAATGGAAATACAGCTGTTTGTTAGCATGTATATTCATTGTAGGATTTTAATAACGTGTGAACGCCACATTTCTAGGGGTTCCCAACGAATTTCCTCAGAGCCATCGGATCACCATCGAATGCAATTTCTCACAATGGCGTGGTAATTCGTCTGCCATTTCTTTGCACAAGATGGCAAATTTCACTTCAGAGCATTGCAAATCCATTACAAACAACATGTCAATTATACTATATTTTTTGCATGGCAACTTAGACATTCGCTGAAAAACCCTTACCTGAGACGTAGACCATCAATTTCCCTTTATTTTATTATGACACCATGTTGTTCATCCTATTATTATTTATAAGGGTAATGTTTAAACTTTATAATCTACTTGTATCACCATGTGCTACCCCTTTTCTGAATTTCTTAGAGAACGTCAAATGTTTAGTGTTATCGAACTAATTGTTGATTGGATGGCCGGTGGTGGTTGCAATCACATCCCTTCATGGATCAAACGCCAGACATGACATTCGGAGAAGTTGTTACCATTCCTATAGAATTTTTTTGCAAGTAACCTTGCTTGAAACACCAATTAATACGGACATATATATCTACTATCACTATTGCAGAAAAGATCATCATATATTGTTGTGTTATTGTATATAGATGGTTTGTTGGATGTGTGACTTATTATTTATATAACATGTACGAAGTAATCACATATGTTTTCGTGTTAACTATTGTGCAATACGCACTCCCTCAATTTCATAATTCTTGTCGTGGTTTTAGTTTAAATTTAAACTAAAGCCACTACAAAAATTATGCGACGGAGAGAGTAGCACTTATAATATCATCACCTCGTCCCATACTTATGAAATCTTCGGATTTTTTTCTTAACTGTATGAAATCTTCGGTTAGTTAACGATGCATGATGTGCTCGAGTTGCTCACTTACTGGATTCTCCTTTGCGGTTCAGTTTTTCAGTTTTTGTACGGAGTGAGCTGTGGTGTGTGAGCGTGGAGTCGAGTATAGCAGCTTGAGCCAGGCCGCTCGTGGGACCTTGGAATGATGAACCCAAAGAGCGGAGAAAGCTAGACAGAGTGGAATCCTTTTTCTTTGCGCCTGGACACAAAGTTGACAAACGTTAGAAGCCCCCCTACTATGTACCCAGCTCCTCGTTGCTCCACCTCTTGTAAAAATATGGAGCACATATAGGCGTGAGCATCACAATAATACAGAGACCGAGGATACTCCTCCTTTTAAAGTAGCAAAACCAAAAATATGAAGCACCTAGCTAGCATGATAAGTACGGCGCATGCCGTTCTTCAAATCTATGAGGTTGGATCAATTTGTACAAATCTGGTCATCTCTTTCATCACCCAGTGGCATAGAGAAGTGCAAAGATGCAAGCAATGGAGCTAATTATATCTATTTCCTTTTTAGAAAAATATCTATTTTCAGATAATCTTGATGCAGATCTCATATTTTTGTTCTCATGCCCATTTCAGTTTGTCCAATCCATTGTACTCTTTATGTTACATCAAATGCCATGCCCGCAAAAAAAAGAATAAATAATGCTAGACAATTTTCCTAAAAAAATAGATAGCAAAAACGTATACATGCTTGTTTAGACACTATTTTTTGAGTATAACCTTAAATATTAGTACATTAAAGTAGTTTAGAAATAAAACATGTAAAATTACATTTAGAGAATTGATAAAAGAGAGCATGGATAAGGTATTATATTACTTGTTTAGACACTCTTTTTCGTGTGTTATTTGGTACGTGGTTTTTAATATCTAGCAGCGATAAAGTCAACTGATTTTAAAAACTCTTCTCGGCATTGTTGATGATATGTATGAGACTTAAGATAAGACATAAAGTAAAGGAAAATAGTGGGGAGGGGCAACAAGAAATTGAGCGCACTCTGATATGCGCTAATTTTGTAAACCAAGTATATTATGCGGAATCACAAGTTAGACACTATGTGGTAAGTTGTTGTCTGTTTCTGCTGCCTATTTCACTTACAAGTGGGTGGTACTGTTTCTTTTACTATAATGTTAAAAAATCCGACACCATATTTTTAACCATGGCAAATCGAATGTTTTCATGGCATATTTACTTCTTGCGAGGATGTCATGGCAAGGATTTGTGATGCTTGCTAAAGGAAATTGTCATCAAGGGTTTGTCATGCTTGCTAAAGAAAAGTGCCATCCTCACGAAAACTAAATTTGCCGTAAAAAAACATTCGATTTGCCATTGTTAAAAATCCAAAGTCAGATTTGTAGTGAAATCCTTCTTTTAACCATGACTACTTCCTATTTCTCTACGTATGTGGCATCAATTTTTTGCCATGTACTAGCACTAGCGCGTCGTTATACTACAAAAGACTCTACATGGCACATGCTTTTCTAGGGCTCACTTGGATGTACGATTTTTGTAGGATTCAAATCCTTAGTTATTTTCTTCGTGCAAAGACCCTTTGATTATAGGATTGGGGGTACCTTTTTTCATGGAACCCATTCATATGCTTTGCACTCCATAACAAGCCTGATGTGAGTTGAAACCACGTTCCTTAATATTCATGTATTTATTTCCCGTGCACCATCATCCAAAGACATCTCTTTGGCTCACAGAATTTTAAAAACTCGGGAATAGAAAAACGTAGGGTCGAGATGTCATGCCATGTAATCCTACATGAACTGCAAACCCATGAATCTGTATACAAGTTGTTTGGTTTAACCATGGAAAAACGCAGGGGCTTATGGAAAGGATTAGATGCATGTCATAACTTTGTTATAACAAAGGAAAGTTTCTACGATGTTAGAATCAATGGAAATTTTTCTTTCCAACCGTATGCAATTTAGTTCATACAATATAGTTTTTATTCTTATAAGCCAGACAAGCTTTGGGGAAGAAATAAACACTCCTAATTAAGGAACGAAATTCTGTAAAGTCCCTTTGAACCACATCAAAGTGACATCCTAATCATGTTTTTTTTCTCTTCTTCTCTTCCTACATTCTTAGAGCATCTCCACCAGCATGTCCTAATGGTTGTCTATATGAGATACACACAATATGAGACAAAAAAAGAAAACTCTCCGGCAGATTTCTATATGATAGTCTACCGCTTGACATTGCCTAAATATGGACAACCGGCAGACATTGTCTAAATGTGGACTGTTTGATAGACAATCTGCTGGAGAGCGTTTTTTGCTTCATATTGTCTATCTTTTGTACACACAACCATTTTAATAGTTGTAAGATACTACTAAAATATATCAGAAAATATAGACAATTTGTGCATAGACAATCTGCTGTGAAAACTGATTGTGTATATGATGAGTGTTTTTAGGCCATTGCCTATAAAAACATATAGACAACAAAATGGAGATGCTCTCACGTCTCCGCGCGCGGTTTAAAAGGAAAGCGCCTTTGAACAACAAGGCAGAGCGGACTAGCGCTCTTGTGTTTCAAACTCGGGCCACGTAGAACCGAATCAGCGGTGGTTTTTGGTGGGTAGAAGGTAGGGTGGTAGCGAAGCGGAGGGGGGACATCGCAGGTGCGCGGTGTCAGAGGGGGGAGCATCTAATGCTGCTGACAGCTCATCCCAACAGCACCAACCACAGGTCTCTTCACTCATACTCGCACACTCACTCCCACACACACACGCATACATACATGCTCTCTCTCCTCTCTCATCACGGTCACGGAGCAGAGAGAGAGAGAGAGAAAGGACTGGCTAGCTACAGTGCCGCCCATGTCCTGACGAGAGGTAGAGGGAGAGAAGGTCAGTAGAGAGGCTGGGGTGATGAGCTATAGCTACAGGGTCCTCTCAACAATCATCGAGCAACGGGGTAGCATCTCGTAGGTTGATCACGGAACGATGCTCGGCCACCCCTAGATTAGGGATATAGCAGCTAAGATTAGCTAATAGCCAGTCGTCGTGTCTCCTACTGGAGTGCTACCGGCCAATAAACGATTAAGAAGGACCACCTACAGCTTGGTGTTTGCTCTTGGATCGATATGCGTGCAGCTGGCTAATCTCCAACATCTTTGTTTTTTAGCCACTCGATTTTACTAATCAAATGCCTTCCCAGTCTAGTGATTAACTCACGTTCTGATGGTAAGGATAAGACTATCTCCGGTCCAGATGGACGTGCTTGATAAGATAGAAACCAGAGCAACGATGGAGTTCAGTCTTACGTAGCCCTTTTTTCTTATTATTTTGAATGATTTACGTCGCCCTCTTTGAGCTTTGCCTGCTACCCAGCTTGGCCCGACCTTATTTGGAATAGATTTTTGACATTATATATGGAAAAAGAGAACGGAAGAGTTCCAGTCCATAGGATTTCAATCAGATAACATTATTTAGACAAAAGGATGAATTTTATCGGTATAAAATGAAGTATCAAAAGGATACAAACACTACGAGCACACACCCAACCTCCGCATAGATATGATGTACAAAGTCAACACCAACGCACACAAACACACCAGCAACTAACAAAATCATATAAGACCAAAGTTATGCGTAGGCGAG